TAGACACCTATAACCCTAAAACATAATGCTTCTCATAGTTAGGATCACATGGTAAATTAATTTAATGTTGGAAGAGAATAGCTGAAGACAGACATTTGAAGAAGAATCCTTAGGCGGTCTTTTTCCAGCAGTGTATAAATAAAAGCTGAAGATGACTATAATGAGGTGTCATCTAAAGATATAACCTATATAATTTGTACCTCTGCAGCTGGTTGCATTACTGGTGACTTTCCTTTTCCAGCATATCTGCAGGTTTTCTATAACTCTTTAAAGCACCAGTGACTGAGGAGCTGGCAGAAGCTGTTAAATTTGTCCAGTTGAGCTGAAAATGAACTGCTTTAGTTCTTCAGAGAAGAGTTGGAATGAAAACCTGCAAATATACAAGTCCTCCAGGACCAGTATATCGGCTGTATCTTGAAAACTTTGCAAAAAGAATTACCTGAAGCAGGCTGTATTTAAGGCTTTTATTGTTTTGGTTCTTAAAAGGATAAAAGGCAAATGTAATGGAATATAAAAACTTGAAGGTGTCACAATCCTAGTAGTATACTACACACTAGATGTAGCGGATGTTTAGATTAAAAAAAAAGATTAGATGCAATTTTAGATTTTGCACCTAATGATTACAGGTATGGATAAAATGTAGCATAATGTTATATAGTTTTTTTAGTGTTATATTCATTAACATTTCGAGTGTTACAGCATATTCACTCAGTCATAGGATCAACCTGAAAGAGAATACTGGATATGGAGTACTCTGGGGTATTTTGTGATATTTTCCAGTAGTGCTCAATCATATTCAAGGTATAACTTTATATTGGAATATACACAAAGGAGTTTTTTTTTTGAGTAAACATAAAAGCTATTGATTTTTATGTCAGGTCTGACAGGAGGTTGACATGGTCTCTGTTGAGTTACATAGCACTTATTAGAAATAATATGGTAGACATAATAAATGTTTTAATCTAATTTCAACCTTATGAAAAGCTTATAAAAGGTCAAAAGTATGAGAGTAAATATAATGTACCACAGACCATGAGATCTCCCTGGATAAAAAACAAACAAAAGTAAAGCCTCAAAATAGTCCTTCCTTTGAATATCATGACTGCTTTATAAATTGTTTTGAAACAACACAATAGAATGCTTCCATTCTACAATTTTATTTGAATGATTTGCACATCTACAACTCCATGCTACAGTCAGTGAAAATACTGAGATACACATTCACCTTTAAACCAACATAATTAAAGAAAATGGTAAACACATAACTCAGTTAGGCATAGGTCACTTGTAATTCCATTAAGGAATTGCATTTTTTATAATCAATTATCCCCTGAGGGTAGAAAATCAGAATGTAAAAGCAACGACACACAATAAAAGGAGAGTTATTCAAAATTTAATTAACACGGTGTAAGACCACGATGGTCCTTAATGAGTGGTGCAATCCAAAAAGGGACACTTTTTTCTACTTTTTGATGAATTGCCAGAGAGCACCATGCCATTTTCCCATGGCAGAGTCTGTAGAACAGTGAGAGAAAATGACTTTTGTGGTCTCTTAATGATTCGTTATTCCAGGGTATTCCAGCGGTGTTCAATGCTATTAGGACCAGAACTGTGAGCAAGCCAAGAACTGCTTATGGTTGTTGATATTGTGAGTGCCAGGTGTTAGCCCGGACATCTTGGTACAATGTCTCTCACACTGTCTAGTCTCTACACTTTTACAGGCAGTTACGCATACAATAGGGGTACCAGCTACCATTCCATGTTGTTCCATGTTGAAACTGTCACTTCTGTAACACATAGCTAATTTGCATGTTCTACCAGTAATGTCCTTTATGTGCATTTGGACAACTACACATGGTCTATAAATAGCTTCTGTGCTAATGTATATCAAAACTGGACTTTCTGCTTGGACCAATTGTTTTATCTATAGTATATGTTTCACCTACGGTAAACTTCTCTAGCTAACACTTTTGTTTACTTCATATAATGTTTCCTTCCATGGAATCATGGCATTCACCACACTTCAGTGACATAATTGCCTGTATATTCATAGCCTTGATTAATGCTATCTTGCTTTATATTCCTAGATTGAACTGCAAAAGTAAATTAGGAATTGTATTTTGTTTTTAGACCCCAAACCTATAGAACTGTTTCATTCCATTTTAAGGAGTCAGGTTTATTTGGAATTTTTAACTCTTCATTCAATCTGCATTTTAATAATAGTTCTTTTGATCCTATTCCTTTTAGTCCAATTCTATTATGTGAGAACAGGTTGTTTTATTTTGCGTTATGTGTTTAATTCTGCCTTTTGTAAATCTTAAAGACTATTTATTATTATTCTGTAAAGTGGTATGAGTTGCTTTGGCAGGAAATGTCATATTAATAAATAATATGATTTTGTCTTTTTTGCTGTTATAATTTTAATCCATGTTTGTCCTGTGAATGTTAGAATAACCAAACTTAAAGGAGAAAATTAGTCTTAATACAGAATGACCTTCCAAGCAAGACTGGATGTGTCTTTGATATTCTATATTCTTTTGTTTTATATTTCAATAAATTTGTTTTGTATAATTTGTTTGTTTTGCTGATACATGTCTATAGTGTGTGCAAGTACTAACATGTCAACAATGTAGCATTTTCTTTCAGCTTTGTCTTTGGAGATTTACTCATTATGTCAGGTCTATTGATTTCCCTGTCTGTATGGTTTGGCATATCCCAGAGTAGTTACAATTTCATTTTCGCTCACACTTTGGGTTTTGTGTTGGGACTATTTCAGTGGAACAGATAGGTCATAGTGAAAACACATTTTCTAATGAATATACAGTAGCCTGCTGCTTTGTTGTGTCTTTTGGTATATGCAGTATGGTATTCATTATTCAGCTTGTGCTAGTATGCAGCAACCTGGGGTTATGTGTTCAGTACTTTTTTTTTCAGATTGGTTGCATAAATCAAACATTGAATTGTTGCTGTCCTTAATTATGCTATTTCAGAATGAGCATGTTTTTAAATCTGGTGCTGCTAGGATGAACCCTTCCTTTTCAGTCTTTAGTCCACCACTGTTTAATCTTTGCTTTGCTTTTTCATTATCTATATCAGCTCTTTTCTATTTCTTATGGGTAAACACCATAACATAGATTCTCTTCCAACGCCCTTGACATTTGTTACTGTATGACTTTTCTTTCCTCTTGTATTTTCTGTCCTTCTCTGTTTCATGTAAATTATGTTGTTCGTCTGACATCACATCAGTGTTTATATGATATTTGATTGTCTCGTTGGTGATCGAACATGTATTCTTGTTCAGTTGATGCTTAGTCTGGAAAAGTTCATCCTTCTTTTGATAAAGAAACATATGGAATCCAATAATAGTTGTGTTGTGTGTGTTTTCAATTTTGTATTAGGGTTCTTTTTCCTTCTCAGTCGAAGTGTCATATCTGGGGAATGGTATATGGTGCATCATCAAAACTTATTATTTACAGTTTCGTTTTTGTAAATCTATTTCTATCCAGTTTATGTTAATAAAACTGTATGCCACTATGTGGATAACAAGTATTAATCTGTTCGTTAACCTTTTCCATCTGTACTACACCTTTTTTATTTTTCTTTCATGAATCCATTTTGAATTCCACATGTTCTTTAACTCCCAAATATTTATACAGTTCTTCATATTTAAGATTTCTAATGATTGTGTCTACATTAAGTGTAGCTTTTAACTCTTGAGGCCAACCTTGTGTTTCTATCACAAATTCAAATTTGATATCTTTGCTGACTTGTGCTGAGTTGTGATGCTATGTAAAAAGTGTTCTACGATGGTCATCATTTTGTCCAAATATCATATTATTATTTTTGCTGGTGTTGTTGTGATAATGATAGCTTGGGCTTGTAAGAATCAAAAGGATTAAATACTTGTCTTAAGGTGGGAATGGGATGAAAATAATGATGTGTGTAACTTAACTACACATTTTTCAGTAAGATAGAGATCTTAAGATTGTTATGGCCAGGGAAGATTAGGAAAGATTGTCTCATGCTCTTTATGATATTCACACACTGTCTGCCACACAGTGTACTGTATTTATTTGACTTAGAGTTCCAATATTTTGGTAATTGAATCTATGTATACAATATGGATCCTGGAGTATGATGAAAGGTAGCAACACGTAAGCAGTTGTTGTTATTTGTTTTGGTAAATCTGCCCACATGACATACAAATGCAGATTTTACCTGTAAGAATTGTATATTTATACACCCTCATACATATACAACAGAACAGTAATGTTAAATCAATAGCAATTTTCTTTAAGTAAGTAATATAACTATCGGAATATATCCATTCTTATAAAAACAAACGACTGTTATGCTTAATGGTAATTATGTTTGTTGATTAGAGAGCAGGTTTGCTAAGTTACTGTATATTATTGCATCGATGTGGTAAATGTAAATTTTTGATAATCCAAGCTATTTATCTACAGGTAAGAAACCTACTGCATACATACATGATTCACAAAACCCCCACATTTTCAGATGTATGAGAGCTGCTCAGCAGGTGAGTGATGGGTCAAGGGTTCATTCTGGAATTATTCTCATAAGATCTCTCTAATTTTAAGCTTGCGACCATATACCAAGTCACTATTAACCTCAGTCTGAAATCATCGTGTCCATTTACATTTTAATTAACAGGAGCATTAAGATGAACAAAAATCAATTTCACTTCAAGGAGAGTTAATAACAGCACTTTGATGTCAATGCATGGAATCCTTTTGGCCCAGATCAAAACCAGCAGCAAGAACACTCCGAGGACAGTTAGAATTGTGAAATATACACTATACTACATTTCTAACAAGCCATTTTATCTAAAAACACCATTTTAGTAGAACATTTTTGCTCTTTTGGGGGAAAAAACTGATAAAAGAATAAAATAATATTCATTTACAGGAATAAAACAAAACAAGGATGTATTTTTTTCAGCACCTTGGTCTTACAAAACATATTTAAACATGCCTTACCTGTGCTGTCATCATACACCACTGTGACTGTTCTCCATTTGAAGAAGTGCACCAAGTCCAGGATGGCTCGACTGAGAGATGAGAAGTCGGGATAAAGGCTGACGTAGAAAGAGTCCCTGTTGTCTGAGACTTGGTGTTTCCATTTTGTCTGAATGTGAGGAACTCCAAGGGCATTGCAGATGGACTGTACAGCGTTGGCCGATGAACTATGAGAGGGGCCAAAGATGGCAGCAACCCCAAGAGACAGCTGATCACAGGCTGAAGAGGAGATAGAATTCTGTCAATGATGAGAGAAGAAAAACCAAATGTGCTAGCAAGTACTATTCAAATCAAGTATGTTATTTACCAGATATACTACATCATTTTACTTCCCATTACCTAACAACTGATTAGTGTTTGCAGAAAATAACTGTAGACATACTCACTATTTGTATACTGTTAAAATAATGCTTTCCATAAGCTATGACAGGAGTTCAATATATCATATACTTAATTTCAAAACAATTATCTGAAACCAATTGTCTGTTTTTATTTGAGTTTAAATATATTTTTTCTGCAATTTGTTTCAGTTACATTTGATAAGCCTGACTAATTTAATTAGTACTATACCCTGCAGTAACTGTGGAAAATAAATTTAAAATAAATAACTAAATCGATGTGACTTCAGCATTTAAATGTGTAAGATAGTTTATAGCTAACACACACTCAGAACACTCAGCAATTTGGTTGAATGGCTTTGCCAGCTAACACATAATTATGTTACTACATTCCTATAGTTTAATAAGGTCAGATATGATTTGTTGTAATGTTTTAGTAATGACAGACGACAATGGAAGGCATAAATATTCAGACATTATTTGTTGTTTGTTTTAATAATGCATAACTGTTTTCTTATGTTGGATTGTGAAGAGATCATTGTATATCTTTAATTACCACATTGTATTTACATTTCAATAATTAAAACCAGGTAGTAATCACATATAGCCAACACAATTAACTTAGGAATGTGCATCATCCAGGGCATACAGGATAATAGAATCTGGAAAGATTGTGAAAAGGAAGAAGTCACATAATATATTAAGTTATGAAGCATTATAGTCTGCCAGGAAATGATCATTGTCCACACCTCCTGTGTAGGTATTTGGATATTTCATAATTATTGAGAGCATATTTAATATTAGATTTGAAATAATAAAGTGAGTTATAATTACTTCATAAAATACATATGAAAATAATAAAATCAATATAGTGCATAGTCAAAATAAGTTGCTGATTTCAGAAAAAACATTTTGTGTTAGAGAATACCCCAAGCGACTTGCAGCTGTAATCGCAGCAAAAGGTGGCTCTACAAAGTATTAACGCAAGGGGGCCGAATAATTTTGCACGCCCCACTTTTCATTTTTTTATTAGTTAAAAAAGTTTCAAAAATCCAATAGATTTCGTTCCACTTCACAATTGTGTCCCACTTGTTGGTGATTCTTCACATAAAATAAAAAAATTATATCTTTATGTTTGAAGCCTGAAATGTGGCAAAAGGTTGAAAAGTTCAAGGGGGCCGAATACTTTCGCAAGGCACTGTATGTTTCCATCCATCCATTTTCTAAATGTTTTGTCCAGTACAGGGTTGAAGGAGAGCTACAGCCTATCCCAGCACCAAGCGACGAGCACAAAGTGGGATAAAAAAAAGTGGGATAAGAGGACACATGTGGATGACATTTGAACTGAAATATATAGTTATCCTTGAATGTTTTACCTTATGCTTCATACACAAAGTTGTTTGACTGAGTATTGTACTGTATGTCTTTTAGGTTGTTTGTGCAATTCACTTCAAGCAGTTTTGAAAAAAAATGCCCTGGCACACTGTGATATGGATATAAAAAGTATCATCTGCATGATTTCTGAAGTAAACAGAGAGCAATTTTTAAGAAATAACTGGAAAGAGGAGGATTGCAGACACTCAAGCAAAAACTGAAAAAGCCAGGGGGAGCGCCATAAAAAGCTCTGGATGACCTCCAATCTTTGACCTATTCCAAAGCACAAACCAATACTTAATTTCAGACTTACTTTGCAGGAAGAAGCCACCTCTGGCAAAGAAACAATGTTACTGTCAACAGGTTTATGTGGAATGTTGTTATGAATGACATCATAGACCATTGTGAAAATAAAAGCACATTTTTTAAATGGACAGTATAACCAAAAAATGCACAGTAGATTTAGAGTTTTTGTTTTTATCAAAAGCTCATAATGTACCAGAAAGGAAGCATTTTATGAAGACTGAGAATTGAATGTCCTGTGTATTTTGTTCTAAACAAACAAATGACATTCTTTGAATTTATAATTGAAGGTTCTTTTTAATTTTGGGGCTCTTTTTTAATTTTTACTCTTACTGAACAAATGGCTGTACAGTATATTTAAAGTATCTCATGCAGTCTTAAAAATGAGTAACACTGGAAAAATTAAATTAAATGCTGCCAAATTAAATAAAGCATGTAGTGCCACAATGTAAAACTATTACAGGTATGTTAAAGCTTAGGCATTTAAAATATATGTGTTTAAATTAACTGAATACAGATAACATTGTAGCATAGTAATTATCTTTAATCAGCATCAGTAACTAGTCATATATACAGTATGTTTATCTGCAGTATGTGCATATTGTATATACATATACGGCCAGAGAAAATAACAAAATACAAAGATGACAGTAAGTCAGAACGGCAATTTCATTACTACTCATAAAAACAGGGGTAATTCAACTACTATATGTTAAATATAATATTGAAAAAGCCAAACAAAGGTATGTGAATGAATTCAATTGAGTTGGAGTATCATTATTCACTTGATATCGGTGGTGGGTAGATACACTGTCACTAACAAGCCAGGCTTGTCATGTCATTGTTTTTATGAATTGAGCCAGCTGCACCTTTTGTTTCAGCCACAGGAAAAGTGACTGATTGCACGTCCTGTACATATTGCTTTATGCCTATACAGGAATCTTTGACTTGTGTTGCATGCCTTTCACCATAAAAACCAATATGTAAGAAAGCAAGTGACACTGAGGGCTGAGAAGGGCTGAAATGTTTTTCTTTCAACCCTGCATTTACATACTACTATATTTGTTGCATTGAAAGTAGACCTCTTCCAAGCATTGACAGCAGTACACATTTGGAACAAAGTTATTTAAATTAACAATAAATATAACCTCATCAGATATTAAGAATCAAAGTTCAAAATCATCCTACTTTACCTTTTCTTGAGGCCTCAAAACTGTCGTAGATGTTTATCCTTTGGATGTCATATGTAAGTGTTGTGTTTGGCAGTAGTGTCCTATTTCTATTGATTGTGTTTAAAGCAAATTTGAAGGCTAATTCCTCTGCTCCTGAAGGACCACTTTCAATGGATTCAAATATTCCCCCTAAAAAGAAAGAAAAATGTAGCATTAAGGCTTGATATTTTGAATTGCACCTGGATAAACATTTATCATCATACAGAAGACAACCACAGTGCCTTGCAAATGCATTTGGATCCTTGTAGTTTTCACATTTTGTTGTTTTAAAGTTATCCACACAACGTACACCACACATTCAAAGCAAAAAAGTAAAAAAGTAAATGGATAATTGATATAAAAGAAAATGGGAAAATCATGATTGTATAAATATTCAAACTTTTTCCTGTGTGCACAATAAGTTGATTGGCCATTGTCTGTGTGCACTAATAGTGATTCACATGTTTCCCAACAAATGTACCTGTCTCTGTGAGGTTCTTTAAGTGTAGAATTTTTAAGCAATCATTAAATCATGAAGACCAAGAAGTTTTCCAAACAGCTCTTGGATAAGTTTGTATAAATGCACAAACCAGGAAAAGGGCCTAAAAACATTTCAAAGACCATTAATATCTTTTTGAGGATGGTGAAGCAGATTATAAAAGAACTGGAATCTGTACCACACACATTGCTGAGATAATGCATTATCTCCTAGCTGAGCAGCTAGACAAGGATGAAACTGGTTAGAGATGCAATGGTGCCAATAGTGATTCTGAAAGAGTTCAGTGACTGAAGTAGGAGAAAATGTTGACAATATCCCAGTCACTCTACAAAAGTGACCTGTATGGCAGAGTGGAAAATCCATCCCAAGTTGTCAGAGTCCTGTCATGAATACGATAGAGGAACTAGAAACAATTTAAAACTGCTGTCCATAAGCAATGCCCAAGCCACTTGAGAGAGCTTGAGCAAATCTACCAAGAAGAATGGACAAGAATTTCACCAAGCTGGTGTGCAACATTAGCACACTTACCCAAACATACCTGTGACACCAATTGTTGCCAAAGGTGTTTCATCCATTTATTGAGTGCATGGGCCTGAATACTTATGTATCAATATATTTCTTTTTTTTCCTTTTTAGAATTTGCTAAGATTTACTGTAGCATATCTTACCGTCTTCTGTTTGAGCATTCTAGCATAGACTACAATATTAATCAGACATAAAACTGTTTATGCATTATTTTGTTATAGCACAAAATGGGACACCATAGGAATGGTCTGAATACTTTTGCAAGGCACCGTATATATATGTAGAGAGATTCTGACCACACTTTTTAGCAGTTGAATAGCTGAATTGTCCTTCAGTATTACCAACATCATGATTTAATGGATATTTCCAAAGTTAGTTCTAAAAAGGCATCCTTTCCAATGGGTAATAATCTGCTGAATTTTTCCACCCATTAATCTGTCAGAAAATAGTCTTATTTTCCAAAGTGATTCTCCATTTTAATGCATAATTTTCTGTGATTTGTAGGAGCTTACATGAATAAATAATAAGCAATTTCAACCATTCAATCTGCCAAAATAGTGGTTCAAGGTCAAATGCACAATGTTCAATAGCACCATTGCAGAATCCCAAAAATATGGAAAAACTGGAAGAAAATGCAAATGCAAACTACAGGAACTAAAGAAGAAATTTTGAGCTGGAAGGTTTATTCCCGATTATTATTTTAAATATAAATGCTGATGAGTGAGGATATAAGAAGACCAGGAATAGTCAAATAAATGCTACAAGTAGACTAGAATATACAGTATATTCACACACAGCATAAGTACAGTAGGTTGATGAAAAAACAATATCAAGGAGATTTAAATGAATTGTATAAATTAAATAAGATTTTCAAAGCTATAATATTACCAGATTACATAAAGAACATTGCTGTAATGTGTATATACAGAATATATATAAAGAATTTACTTCATAAAATACCAATTATAGTGATTTAAGTTAGGAATAAACCTGGGACTGACAAAAACTACTAAAGATCACTAAATGAAAGAAGCACATTCTAATATAGGTGGATAATCATGGACAGTAGAAGGTGGAAAGAGCTTGCCAGGTGCTGAGTGGATGGGGGAGAATTTCTAGACCTACCAACATCATTTTAAGATGCCTAAAGAGGGAAGCTAAAGCATAAAATATAGAAGTATGTTAAAGCAAATGGCCTAAGAAAGACAAGAGCAGTGTGTAACCTGATATTTTTCAACATAACAGCTTTAACTGCACATAGTTCTTAATAAATTATTGACATTCAATATACCAGATTAATGTCTACTGTGTCAGATTTTTACAATAATCGCGGGTTCACACATTCAATGCATTTAAACCAAAACATAAAGACATGTGGTTTAGTCTATCCTTCAGAAGGTAGTTCAAGGACAGTTAGCAAATCATAACTGTGTGAAAGAAGATGACAATACAAAGGCTTGAGGAGCAGCTGTCCCAGAAGCTAAGGAGAAGATTAATGAGGACCTAAGTTTAAATAATGGTCTTGAATGTTGACTTCTTTTGTAGGCAAGTGTTTCTAGACAATTGTGAAAAGCCAGCCTAGTATTTTTATAAGTTAATTTAAATCATTACTTCAAAGTAAGAAATGAACAGTTCATATGGAATGAAAACTAGAAACCTTTGCCAGGTTTGATCCTTGAAAGCCAGAAATTTTAAATCTGTCACTCAAAGATCAAATAGAACTTTATGCCATTTAGTCCTCCTGTGTTCCATATACTGTAATGTATCAAAAATTCATTTCTGAATGAGACTCCTTTAGAGGTGGATGATTTGTAGCATGGCATAGACTTACACAGTTAATGGGGACAATATTAAAGAAAATGTCCTCACAATAGCAGAAGCACATGGTATCAATTTTTATAAACCAAATGGCATCACTTATAAAATCTAAGTCTCAAAACTGTTTTTGGGTCTATTTTCACCTTGTGCCCAATTATATTCTGGTAGTGTACAGAAATAAAAATAAAATGGGAGTAATGGCAGTCTCAAAAACAAACTAAAAAAAATAAATGTACAAATGTGTGTGAGACATCTTGATTGAGCTCTGGGTGGTCCATTCAGTGACCTAATGAGGATGCTAGTTATATTCTTTTCTGAATGGTCAGTCACACAATCAATTGGTCATTTGGGACAGACACAGCATTATGAACAGTGGCCTGAAAGGTCAGTTTTGTGACCTTGTGCAGTGGTTGTCAGTGACTACCTTGGAAATAATTTAAATTTAAAATCTTTCATAATTTAAAAAGAAAATAAGAAATACATTTGTTTTTTTTATGTAGAAGCTTGATTAGCAATTTTCTCTTCCCAGATTTTTTAATTAAAATAAAAATGTCTAAACTTCACCCCTCTGTTAAAAACGAAAATTGCATCATTAGTAGATACAGAGGAATTGTACAAAACGTAGTTCAGGGAGCAGTCAAAGGGATATCTGATCAGAGCACCATATAAGTCTATTCATAATCCCACATAAATGGGAATACACAATCAGCACATTTTCTAAAAACATATTAAAAATATTCAGAGGTTTTTTATGCGTGATGCTAATATATATGGTGTAAGCATCTCTGCTTTCAGGTTAGAAAACCAGGAACAACTGGAGGCAGTAAGTGTGTGGTACACTTTATACTCATTATAACTCTGCCCTTGGGAGCTATCTATTTTGCATGTCATAATGAGTTCCAGGTATTAATAAATGTCAGTTAAATAGGATTTAATGTCGTTGTAAGCCGTAGTATACTAACCCTATTTCATACACAGATGTCAAGTTGCAAATATATGATTTATTACATAAGAACAACATAATGTTTAAAAAAATACACTGTTAGATAAATAGACATATGCAAAGGAATTAAAAAAAACAAAAGAGGATCCCAGTTATAGACCCTCCAGTTTCAGTGACTCCAATGAATTGTAAATGCAAGACTGACAGTCCAGGTAGGCCCATATATAGGCTGTGTAAGCATTTATTATATTTGACTGAGGTGTTACTTAAAGTAACAAGAACAACCAGTTCTTGACCAGTACCAGTACTATGTAATATAGTTGTTTTATTTCAAATTCAGGAAGGGTAGGCACAACAGCACTACCAACAATTGGTACAATATGAACTCTCCTCATTTTCCTTTGCAAAGACAACATGCTACTCACCTGTACTGTATATTCCTGTCATTGATTCTAAAACACAATCAAGAATAAATGGCATACAGTACTACAGTGATTCTTTGAAACAGCTTAACATCCATCAGAAAAAGCTTTTGTGGTCACTAAACCTTTTACACTTGTAAATTGTGTGCAGACCAATGGTGCCTACATTTGCCATAAATTGCTATAAGTCATAATAAAAGCTGTCATAGCTCATGGATGTAAATGTTTTAACTTACATAGAGAACACTTGATTTGCTCATGATACCTGGAATGGAGTTGCACAATTAAATTGAAATTGAAACAACTATATTTTATACACAAATGTCAATAAAAATAATACTAAGCCATTTATGCCCTGTGTTTGTGCCAATAAACACATTTAAATAACTGGATGTGCAAAGTGGAAAAACAGTGCATTGCTATCATTATGCCATCCACATCTGAGAGCCAAGTCTATTGCCATGTTATGCTTGATTAATAATTCATATCCTGTAAATTTTGTATTGATTATGCATTAGCGGGTATGATTTATTAAAAAATGAGCCCCAGGTGTCTGTTGAGGCTTTTAATCAGATGTCTTTGATGGATTTAAAGGTGAATGCTAACAACTAGGCACTTTGAGAATAACTGACTTAATTCACCATTGTTCTGGTACTATTAGAATTTATTTTCTCAGACAGGGTGTTTTGATTAAAATGTAACTTATAAACCACATTAGATGTGGTGAAAAGCGGGGCCAATGTTTTCTGCTTCATGCTATGGTTTAATTTATCTATGCACAAAGGGTTTCACAAAACTAAATGACAGATAAATGTAATGAGAAGCAACAATAAAAATGGCCACAGATGGAAACAGTGTTGTTTTTTTTTCTCATTGTCTTTCTACAAATTGATGACAAAGCCACAAGCCTTAAACACCAAAAGAAGTCATATGCTTCCTACGG